GTTATAAAGTTCATAGATACGTATCAGCCAGAACCTTCTTCAAGGACAAGATTTACAACTATACAAACAGAGCAGTTATAGAGTACTGAGATAGATACTGCACATATCTTGAATAAGACATTGTCATGGCAACAATAGATGCAAACTGAGCAATGTAGCTAAAACGATGGTATTACACTAAGTGGTTTTAACATCTTTCCATCTGAAAATGTGATTTTCTGTCCACTATGCAGTATCAGGGTCTTTATCCTGTTATTTTGCTCCTTTATTCTTTTTTTAACAGGGTAGGTTCAGTGATCCAAATGAAAAAGTTCATGATTCATAATAGACACATTTCAGGACATTTCTTGTAGTGTGTGGTATCAATATGATTCTGTCCTGTTTCACCAGTGAATGGTGTTTATTTTCAGTGACACCAAAACAAATTCCTGTCGGAGTGTTGCTGTTGGCAGAAGAAGCAAATGTGATGGTGCTATCACAGCACCACACTGGGCCCGATGCTAATTCCCTCTGCCAGAGCATCTGTGCCGAGCTTGGCCACTGGATCGGGATTTGGCAGGCAACGCTCGAGGCAGCAGGCCGTGTGTTTCTTAAGGCCGGAGTCTCCCCTGGGGTGACAGAGAGGGGACAGAACAGAGAACAGGTTTCTTTGCTCCAGCGCCAGCAGCACGGCTGTGTGTGAGCACGAGTGTCGATGTGTGCACTCACTTGCGGGAGATGGCGAAGTGGTGGGAACGCGTTCGAGTTCAATGCAGAGTGAAAAAGGCAGCAGCTGCTGAGTGAAACGCCAGCACTGTGCATTGTTGTCATATATTGTTCTTTGGAACAGTGAAGCTGTTCAGGCTGATACTCCTCACGGCCTCACCAACTTTTACAGCCTTCAAGCAAACTAATGGATGCTTCCTGGAGTTATGTTGTTGGTAAAACCACTGTATTAATATTAATTATCAATTAACATTATTAAGTCCGGTGCAATTGTCGATTTTCTTTATGTCTTTACAACATATGACATTCAGAAATTATAAAAATGACGTCTATCGTTTTTCCTTGTTAGCATCAATGACCAGTAACTTTTCACTTGGAAGCTTCCCTCTGAAAGGGCAATTATCAGATCATGATTTACAATATGTTACAGTGCTTCACTGCTAAAGGCTTCCTGAGAGTCTGTGCGCTGCACAGAAACAGAGCTATTAACCTTTTTAGTCCTGGCTTCATACTCAACTGAATGAAATTATGCACTTAACATTCAAGGCTGAGCTGACGATAGTTTCTCCTGCCCATACGTCACAGTGTTATAGCACAGAGCGGTAATGGGATTGCATAATGTAAAAATGGCCCAATTAACACTAAAGTGGACAAAGTGAATGGTAACGTTTACGTCTGCATTTAGATTTACTGCTTGACATCTTAAGTGCTGCATTTTTGTTGACTTTGCAGTTTCAGGCCTAAGAAGATGCCCGCTCCAGTCATCGCTCCAGTCTTTCTTTTCTGTCTTTTTGTTTAGTTTTGTTCTGCGATGGGGAGAAAACATGGATGAGCAGAACATCAGACATATGTAGGCGGTACCACAGATGTCTCGTACCAGGCTACATGGAGTTTGCTCAGGCAGAGATGGGAATTATGCGAAAATAAATACAATACATTTGGAACTTAGGAACAACACAATGTTGTCATATAGTATCTAACGTATAGAGCAAAAGTCTTTAACCAGCCCTCATTTTTATCATTTCTTTGATTGAATCTCTGAAAACTATCAAAGATAACAGCTTGACAGACAGAAAATATTATTATTTCAAAAGCACGGTGATTCCAAAAGAAGTATTAGTCAAAAGCTTGGCATATGTTTGCAGAGTGTGCAGGGTGACTTTAATTTGTTTTTTTAAATGAAACTGGACAAGTGGAGGAAAAAAAGAAGTGGCAGACAAACAAAAAACTATCTGCAGCAGGTGAACGGTATCTAAAAGTCATGTCCTTAAGAAACAGAAAATAAAAACCACAGGACTCAAAAGGGATGCTGTGCAATAGATTCTACATTTGCAAAGCTTATACATTTTCACTCCACTGCTTAGTGAAAGGACCAAAAATGTGACCACTGTTACTCAGCGAAGAAAGTCAAACAAACGTCAGAGGGTTGTTTGACCAGTCGTGTGATATCAGTGGTTGACTTTAGTTCCATTAAGTAGATTTGACCCCAATGCTGCAAAAACAAAAAAGCCAAATGTGCAGTCTGTGCAGCAGGTATCATTCAGCTGTCAGTGCCTACTCAAATCAACATCTAGCCACCTGTAGCATAGCTCAGACAGATGCTGTTGTTGGCTTGGGACCAATGGGAACAGGGTAGAATACAAAACAGGAGTACAAGAATGCTGCATATTGTCTGTGTGTGAGGCAGCTCGCACACAATGCGAGCCTTCATTTGGTTTGCTTCCATTGTGCCTGGGATTTCTTGGGTCCTGTCTCAGCTGAAGAACAGAAAAGTCTTCATTCAGCCTGCTAGGGCTTCTTCAGACCTGCCATTGTCGTGGCATCTCGTCTCTCTGTCGCAGTGTTTTCCTTTCCCTCGAGGATGATTGATACCTCTCCGCTGCAGAGACACGACTTTATAATTGTCGCTCAGCAGACTGTGCGGTTTGGAAGCTTCTGACTGATACCGGTGCCGCCTCACCTCTTCGTTTCCTGTTCTCAAAATAGGAAAGTCAGAGAGGATTGAGATTACTTACAAGGTCAATGAGGCAGTCTTGCTAAACGATACTGAATATGGTTGATGGTTTAATAATGCAGCCGCCTTGGACTTTCACTCAGACATTTCTCTCTTCTGTGCCTCCCATGGCTGTTTTAACCAACAAAACTTGGTGAATAGCTACTTTTACTCCTGAATGCACCCGAATAATTTAGGAGTGATGTCATTCGAAGTAGCAGCACTGTGAACACACTGTTTAATTTTGCCGTAAAAAGGAGAGCCAGATGATAAATGGTCGACCTCCAGACTGAGCCTGCTCTGAATGATTTAGTCAAAGCAGCCAAAGTGCCTCGAAAGAATGGCTCCTTTAGGGGGGAAAAAACACAGACACACACACACAAAACTTTTCTTCTTTATACGTTTTCTGAGGAAGTGCCTGAAAAAAGTCGTGACAGGCTTGTTAAAGCAGCCCCCCCTCCTCAACACACACCACCCTAACAATGCTACCCCGCCACTGTTCTCCTTCACTGTTGCTCTTCTGCTCTACTGGTTGATGACGACTAAGAGGATTTAGCTCAGCCTGCTGCAAAACCCTTGGTTCCCTTCAAGTTAGACTAAGAAGTGTAGGAAAATGTTCGTGTGAACTTCACTTTCAGTTAGATGGGATTTTCTTTTTATTCTGAACGGAGATCACTTTTAGGTGCTCACGGGCCACTTCTGGTCACATGTTTGATTGCAACCTCGAAATTAATTAAAAAGCCAAAGTTCCTAAATGTGTATATTTGGTTGACACTTGGATCAAATAGAAGAGTAAGGGGCTCATAATACCCGCTATCCGGCTTACATCAAAATAATATCACATTAGCTGTTACAAGCCGCCGTGTCTGCCGGTCGTGCACGTCTCGATTTCAGACAAATTTTACACATCAGCACTGGAAGTCAAAACCCAAAGCAAAGACATACTTTTGCAACACCTCCCTCTGCATAATCTGTGAATCCCCAAGTTTCTGTACTGATATGTCATTAAATCTGTGGTAAAAATCAACACAATCATACACTTGTGTCTTATGTACACTGTATATAATGGCAGCTAATCCCCCACTCTAGAAAGCGACAGCTCTAAGAAGACTTATTAATATTTGCAGGAGTGCCTATTATGCAGGAGACATCCATTAAAGTCACAGTTAAAGAGTTCTAAAAGAAAAATGTCAACAGAAGTTTAAATGAAAGTCTTTCTGGCAACATGGCCTAAAGGCAGTTTTTTTCTTCTTCTTCTCTTCTACTAAATGTGTCAATGCTACAACCCACAAACGTTTCTACAGAGTCTCAGGAGGTAGAGTGGGTCGGTGGCTCGATCACGCCGGCAGCATCTTTGGGCAAAATACAGAGGATCCTTTCTGTTTCGAAAATGGGAAATTTTTGAAACGTGTTCAAACAAACATGGAAAAACAGTGTGACATTATTTTTCTGTGTTCATAAACCTATTAGTTTTGGCACGATCCCCAACACCACTGGGTCCAATGTAGCCCCGAACAATGACAGAGCCTCGACCAGACATTCACGGTCTCTCCTGACCTCCTCCACACACATATTGATAACAATTAATAGGTCAGGAGAGTTAAAATTTGGATTCAAAAGACCTGTTTCCATCATTGGAGTCCACTTCTTGTGTAATCTGGCATACGTCAGCCATAAAAATAGCTACTTGAAAGCCACTGAGACAATTTCTGATGAGGCTTTATTGAACACTAGCTGGATCAACTGAAGGGCGGGATGAATCTTGCACGTCTTGTGTTAAGACTTTACTGGATTTTTTCCTATTCCTTTAATGACATGAATATTAGATACTGTTCATTTGCTGGAGATAGCTCTTTGGGAATCATCTTAGTGCAAAAATCTTATTTTTATGCCTGTCAAACTGTGTTATGTGTTGCATTTTTTTTAATAGTTAGGTGCAGTTTTTATGCTTGAATGAGTCACAGGTTATACGACTGATCTGAAAATAAGATAAAAAGCAGCCGGTGTTCAAAGAAAAACTTTGATAGACCATCAGAAAGCCTGGGGAACTATAAATTACAAGAAAATCTGACTCCATGGATGGAAACCTGAAGAAGTAAAGGGTGGCTCGAGACCTTTGCGCAGTTCTGTACGTGTTCTGTGCAATTGTTGGCCGTCATCTCTTTTCCTGAGCGTGTTTAGTAAACTCACCATCTGGGTTGTTGTGAATGACTCATGTGTTTGTGCTTATTAAAAACACCCCAGCAGTACTAAACTAAACATGTTTTCCTGCCTTCATCTCTTTCTGCGTGTCTGTGTTTAGATTGTGCAGTCTGACCCTGAAGAAGCTGGTCGTCATGAGGGAACTTGATAAAGAGCTGATTTCTGTGGTCATAGCAGTAAAAATCCAGGTACGCTCTACATACAGTTATAAACACGACACAACAGAATGTGGTTTGTGTGTCCTGGTTGAGGTAGTCATGTTGATTGATCTCATTTTGGTCATTTAAAGAAATGTTTTGTTTTAAATGGTAGTACGCATCATTTTAGGTCCTTCATATGCACACTCTATAAAGTGTTGCAAAGTAAGTAGCAGCTTTCAGAGAGAGTGCATACTTTCAGCATATAGTGCTCATTAAATGAAACACCAAAGGGTTAGTATTTTTTTTAAATTATTTAAATATTCATGTGTGTTTTTGCAGGGCTCCAAACGGATTTTAAGGTCCCATGAGATTGTGCTGCCACCCAGTGGGTCTGTGGAGACTGATCTGGCTCTCACCTTCTCGCTGCAGGTAAAGGAGAAAAAAAAATCATCACCTTAAAAAAACAACAATGAGAAAACTCAAACATATGTTCCCAAATAAACCATATGGGAACAGGTCTTAACTCTGCATTTGTTCTTCTTCTCCGAGGTAACATCTGACATTGTTAACTATGCGTGGGATGAGGTTTATTGCCATAGTTGCCATGGTAACACAGTTCCATTATAGATCATTTTGAGTATTGTAAGAAATGAAGAAATGTATTTTCTTCTGAAAGCATGTATTAGTCTTTGAGCGTGCACAGATATTAAGCCTGGCAACAACAAAATCTGCATCAATTTGCGCACGCACACGCGTTCACTACAAGCTGGAGGCTGAAGCAAACTTTAATGGCGTGTCTCTGGACTATTTTCAGTCAGCTCGGTTTCAAAAACAAACCCACAGGGTGATGAAGAGGCAGATTAGGCGACTTTTAATTGAGGATGTTTGAATTGCTCGTAATGCAATAATTAGCATTTGTCATTTTAAGTGAACAGTTCATCAGTTTATGTCCCGCAGTGCTCCAGTTTGCCTCGCTGATGGTTTTGAACACCAGTGCTGGCTTTTTCTATGTATTTGTTTTTGTTTTTTTGTCTTTTTATGGACTTTGAGTGAAATATAGAATATCAACAGACCTTTGCTCAAATCTATACTCCAAGCTGTGGGTCCAAGTATGAATGAGTAACTTACACTTTTTCCTCCTTGTTTTCCTGTTTCTCTCACACTCAGTACCCACACTTCTTAAAGCGGGAAGGAAACAAGCTGCAGATCATGCTCCAGCGGCGGAAAAGATACAAGAACCGAACCATTTTAGGCTACAAGACTCTCGCGATTGGATCTATCGATATGTCAGAGGTACAGTCTTGCCCTGCATATATGCTCATGTTCTTCGCCTCGAGTGTTAACAGTGGGTTCAGGAGCTCTGCTGCACTTGTGTTCTGAAGACTCTCTTTAATAGCAGAAAAGTGCCGGTCATTTTTCTACCATCGTGCCAAAACACTTAAAACACTTAAAAATAAGTAATAATTGAAAGCCTTAAATTATCCATAACATGTCCCTCTGTGTGGATACAGTTCTTTTTTTCCCCCGTTTCAACCCAGATTATGATTTTTATTAAATAAATACACATTTTATTGTTGTTCAAATTAGAGGCTTATAAGTTCTAATAAAAGTATCTTCTGAATTAGGGCTCATAACCCAAAGAGATGTTGGGCAGCTTTTTGTGCTCATCCAAAAACCAAGTGACTGATTATGAGCCCTTGGCACAGACTTGTAAAAGATCCTGTCCTATATAGACTCTCAAACTTAAAGAAACACACAGCGACCAAGTCAAGCTGTTGGTGTTGTTGTTGCGTTGGTTGTCTGTGGTCATTCTCTTTGCAGTGGTTTGGCTTTTACTTTAATAAATTTTGTGTCTTTGTTGTTTGCAAGTCATTTTGTGCATTGTGTTGTTGTTTGTAGGCATTTTTTAGTTTCTTTTTGTATTTTTGGTGAGAATTTATAGTCAGTTTTGGATTTCTTAGCAGTTTTTTTTTAAATAATTTTGAGTTTCTTTGCTGCTGCTTTGAATTATGCTGAGGCTGAGTACAGTAATATATCATATCTTTGTCATGCCTTGTACCTCGTTGTGGTAGTGAACAGCTGCTTCACAGACTCTGTACTGAATGTTGTCCAGCAGGCCTGGGTTTTTTTTTTCCATCTTTTCAAAATCCAAATAAAAAGAAGATAACTTCTCTTTGAAAATTTTCTGTAACCACCATGAAGAAAATTGACAGTTTAATAGCAATAACACAGGTTTAATGCATTTATTTTCTTATACTTTTAGTAGATGAATCTTTTATGTTTTAGGTGCACTTCCATGATCTTTGCATAAGATATTAAGCATTTGTAAAATCATCAAACATATGTACAGCAGCATCAGAAAGACGCTAAAAATGGAGGAAAAAATAGAAACAGGCTTTTTGTGTTTTAAGAAAACCTTGAAGACACAAATGAATGGCTTGATTTCACTGCACATGATGCTGATCCACCAAGCAGTTCCCATTTGGCTGACAAAGCTCAGCGGAGCTTATTAAGGTCACATCTCGGCAGCTGAGAGAAGGATAAAAAAAGCATTAATGCAGCTGAGATTGGGGGGGAAAAAGAAGAAGCACAGAGCTGTACTGACTCGAAAGAAAGAAACAGTCCCTACAGTTTCAGCTAAAGGATTTAAATCTGTGAACAAAACCTACCACATAGGATACAGTGTAAGCTGCTGCAAGGGGATGTATGCAGTCTCGTGAGACTGTTGGAACAGAAAGGATCGGTCTGATTTTCAGCAGTATTGTCCTTAAGTGACCTGGGTTTGTTCTCTGCTTAGGTGCCGTGGAAGAAGGCATTTGACCTTCAGCTGTTTGTGTGAAGCCTCTTAGGTAGTGTAGTACCTGCAGGAGGTGACTGAACTGGGCATTTCCTCTCTCGCTCATGATGTTTGGCCTCTCGCAGGTGATGCAGCACCCGACAGAGGGAGGCCAGGTTCTGCCTCTCTGCAGCAACCAGAAAGACATGCTTGGAAAAGTGGCAGAGATCTGGATCTTTTCCCTGTCCAGTCAGCCAATAGACCATGAGGAGGCAGCCCTGCAGGGGGGACAGAAGATCAAATGCTCTGGTATGCTTTGCTTCTCATTACCCCTGATGCTCTGAGGCAAAAACAGCGTGACGCCATCATAATCACCTAATATGCTTGATGAGTTAAACAGAGTGGCGTTTCACAGGGTTTAGAGTGTTTTTTTCCCTCACTTCTCTTTCTCTAATCACCATGAAAGCAATAAAATCCAGGTAGCATGCAACATCATGCATATATTTAGAAACTGGCTGGTTGTCAAATTTTAAAGGGGTCATCGAAAAATGTATGAAGCATCTTCTACACTCAGTCTTTAATCTGCCTGCTATCTCCAGATAACTACTCAGAAGAAGAGTACGAGAGCTTCTCCTCAGAGCAGGAGGCCAGCGATGACGCCGTGCAGCCACAGGTGATTTTATTTATTTGTTTATTTTTAAAGGCTTTTGCAGTTTGGAGGGATAACATGTTTTACATTATTCAAGTCAGTCTGTATTCTCTCTGTATTGGTTTAAAAAATATACGTGTTGTGTCCTTCATGTTTTCAGGATCTCGAGGATGACGAGTATGACGTGAGAAAACCAAAGAAGCAAAGGAGGTCGATTGTAAGGACTCCCTCCATCACCAGAGTAAGAGATGTGAAACAGCAACTGGAGGGCTACTCTGAGCATCCTGCCTGCAGGGAAACAAAGCTTGTGGTGGTTAATTCTCCATCCAACCACAGCGTGACAACTTAAACTTTAAGAGTTTGGCCTGATGAAGAAAGCCGTGTTAATTAGAGAGCTTTAGATTAATTTTGTCGCTGTTTTCACCTTTCTGCACTCCAACAGCTTAACCAAGGTTAATTGGCTTCTCTTGTAAAGATAATTTAGTTTCTTTCTTTATCTTGGCACGTGTACTGAACCGCAAAAAAATAATTCCAGATTCTGTTGAAGCTGCACTGTAAAACAAAGGGCCTGGGAGTCCAGTTGACTCGTGGGTTTTACCTGTTTTTTCTCCATAGAATCATTTTTCGTTTGTTTATACCTGAGGTAAAACTACTACATAGTGCAAGAAGGTTCTGGATGCAGAAAACTGCTAGAAAAAAAGCGCCACACCTATAATTAGCTGCTTTTCAACAAACCTAAACAGCAGATGATGGATGTTATAAGGCTCAGCAAGTCAGAGCAGCAGATGAAAGCCTCAGAAAGCAGATGGAGGATGATGTTGCTTGATTATTGATTTACATGAGCACACACTGCAAAATCGATACCCAGCCAACACTGCAAATGTATCTACTGCTGGTAAAATTACTAAATTGGAGGAGCTCCTGCTCAGCAGTGGCTGCAGCTGTTTTTTGTACTGGCCGAAGTAAATCAGAACTAGGTCACAATCTGACTTGCGGCTCTGCGTTTGTTCTCCTGTGTTTTAGCAGCAGAACTTTAAGCAGCGTGTGGTGGCTCTTCTGAAGAGGTTCAGAGTTTCAGATGAGGTGAGTGTCACTGTCTTGCGTTGGTCTGGTCGTCTGACTGTGGAGCTGCAGAGCCATCGGATATGTGATGTTTTTGTATTTGTGAAGGTGTTGGACTCGGAGCAAGATCCTGCAGAGCCACCTCCCGATGTGGAGGAGGAGGATGTGGACCTGGACAGCGTGGAGTTTGAGAACCCCAGCGACAGCGGCCCAGACATGGATGATGACGACAGCGTCCTCAGCACGCCGAAACCTAAACTCAAGTGAGTGACATACTTATCCATGGTGTTCATGGATTTCCTGCTGGTTAGACTACATGGACTGTATATAGCTTCTGTATGTAGCTTCTGGTCTTTCTAATCGCCAGCAGGGGGCAGTCCTCTTGTTGCAGACATATCTTTTATTGTATATAAATCTGTAAGAAAAGCACCTTTTGCTCACTTTAATCTGTGACCTCAATTGAGTTTATGTTCTCCTTTGTACGGTGGCCCTGAGAGGCCAAACGGACTGCAACTTAAGAAAACTCCAGCAATAAGAAAAATGCTGCAAAAGCACACAAAACACAACGCAAATGGGAAAAACGACAACGGAAATAGGAAAAAACAAAACAGAAATAGGAAAAAACAGATTTCCAAAAGCACAAGGGAAGTGTTTCTGGGGAGACAATAACCCGACGGACCGGTTGCAGGAACCAAAATATGCTAATAATTGCGCTGGGAGACACTTAAAAGAAGTGGAGGATCTATTGGTTTTGTGAGGAAAGAAAAGATGAGAGGTAAGTTAGTGTTAGCCTAACTATTAGCCTAAAAATCCGTCATCAGTATTATATGAATCGTGATAAAACACACCTACTATGTTTTGGGTTCCTGCAACTGGTCCGTCGGGTTATTGTCTCCCCAGAAACACTTCCCTGGAGTTTTCTTAAGTTGCAGTCTGTTTGGCCTCTCAGAGCCACCGTACCTTTACAAGTTTCAGCTCTTTGTTAATACAGCACAATGTTTATTTTGTAAATAGTTTTCCCGTTTACAAGATATTCCCTCAAATATTCCTTAAAATAGACAACAAAGGAGGGGCGCGCTTTAGGATGTGGCCTCTTTGTGACTGACAAGGTGTGAATCTGCGGTTTACTTGGTGTATCAGTCAAATCTGGCTTCTCTGTGTAAGTCGGCAAACCAGTTCACAGCAGCTGCGTCCATTTTACCTGCTCCAATGTAACGTTGGCAGAAATTCTTTTTAATTTGTTACAGTTGGTCCATAATTTTCCAAAAATATTCTGAATAGTGAAAATGTTTAAAAACGATTTATAAAACGGTCCAAAAGACTCATGTGTTTATGTGTGGGAAACAGGTGCAGAGTTTATTGGGACATGTGCAAACTTACTTGGAAATATAATATGCAAGTCAAAACAGAGTTTGCACAACTCAAACGTTCAGATTTGGATTCCTCACTCCATAAGACTGATTTTCAGTCCAGTTCTTGTGTAATTTGGCATAGATCAGCCGTTTCGCCCTGTTTCTCTTTCTTAGGAATGGATGCTTGACAGACTGAACTCATTTCTGGCCGTGTACTTACCCCCTCACTCAGAGGAGACTGCCAAGTCAATAAACCTCAGCAGGTATATTTACATGATGTGAAACAAATGTATTTTTCTTCTGTTTCAGGCCATATTTCGAGGGTCTCTCCCTCTCGAGCTCTCAGACTGAGATTGGCAGCATCCACAGCACTCGGAGCCACAGGGAGCCTCCCAGCCCGGTGAGACCCCCGACACACGAGCACATTGTGAAACACCAAATGGCCTCCAGTAGTTTCTGCTTATCTTCCACATTAATTGATTTCAAATCTCCTCCTTCACTTAAACAAATGAGTTAAGTAACATGTGAGTGAACAGCTGGAGGCAGGTGAGCTGCTCTGATGGCTTCTCCGGCTCAGGTTTTTCCTTCAGCCTTCAGGTTTATCCCTCTGGTTGCCTGTTTGCGAAACTGTAGGGCTTCAGTTGAACTAACAATTCATGATGATATGTCGAGTCAGACAATGCTTTACTTTCTCTGAAATTAAAGTTTCCCAGAGTCCATCAAATCCAGGTGATGTTTATTATTCTTCCCACAACCTCATTCCAGGTTGACCCAGATAAAACCAAGTGCACCGGGGATGACGGCGTGTCTGATAACATCCCTTTTGTGAGTGTGAACCTAAGCTTTTTCAGATTGATGCACTGACTCAATATTGTATTTTTATTATATGTAAGAAAGGCTAAAGAAGATCTCCTGTGTTCTCTGTAAGACTGTCAATAAAACCTGTAATCCAAAGACGATCCTTAAGGCATTTAAGATGTGAAAAAGTGTTGAAGAGCAAGAATGCAGAAACACATCTGCCAGCTCTTAGCTCATAAACACTGTTCCAGTTTTTCTCTGCTTCTGTTTCCCCTCAGGAGCAGCCAGAGGCGGTGACCCCTACCACAGAGCTGGAGATGGACAACATGGACACGTTTTTAGAGAGACTCCCACCGAGTGGCAAAATGACCAAAACAGAGTCTCTTATCATTTCATCCAACAGGTAAATATACATAATTTAATGATAACACACTTATTTCAAGCCTGTAAAGGCAACGCTGTAAATGCGCACGCATGATTCTTCATGTCTGAATGCAAAGAATTGTTTAACTTGTCTCTCTCTTCCTTTGCTTTTTTCGCTTTTAGGCAGGAACCAAAGTTGGCAGGGAGGCGAGGCAGGAGCACATCGCTGAAGGAGCGCCAACCCAGCAGGCCCCAGAATGAGAGGGCCAACAGCCTGGACAATGAGCGGTCTCTGGATACCAGATGCCACCTACAGGTAGGAGGGTAGAAGTGCAGGGGAAACCAAAAACAAACCAAAAACTATGAGTTTTCTTGTATTCACAGGCGTGGGAAAGATTTTCTGAATATTAAAGATTTTGGCATTTAGCCTTTATTTGACAGCGGGGAAAAATAGACAAGAAAGGAGGGAAAACGTGTCGAGGGAAGACACATAACAAAGGGTAGCAGGGTGAACTCAAAACCAGGCCGCCTAATTTCAGCCAGAAAGCATAAGCCAGTGCACAGGAATGTTAAAACAGTTAATATGAAGATAATTCTCAATTCAGGCAAGAGAGTCACTGTTTTGGCAGCATATATGTATAGGACAGAGGTGCTTATTGTAATGACCGTCCGTGTGTTAATGTATTCATAGACATGTCTAATAGATTGTGCCGGAAAAGAAAAGTATGAGATCTTACATTAACATGAACCTAACATTAAGGTTTACCTATTTTACTTCCCTAGATTCCCAGAAAGACAGTGTATGACCAACTTAACCACATCCTGGTATCTGATAACCACCTCCCTGATAGTATCATCCTCATCAACACGTCTGACTGGCAGGGCCAGGTAAGCAGCAGGCCTTTTCAAAGATAAAGGTCTTACTTACTTGTATACAATTTTCATTTAGGTCATTTAATTAATTACATTTTCTTTGACCAGTAGTTTTTAAGTGTTTAAAGATTTACAGAGCATTAATTATTGGTTTATAATGGAGTCCCTCCTCTCTCAGTATCTTTCAGACATGCTGCAAAACCACCATCTGCCAGTGGTCTGCACCTGCACCACGGCTGACATCCAAGCTGCGTTCAACACCATCGTCTCCCGCATACAGAGATTGTAAGTCTGCCTCCCATGCTTTATGAAAGCACGCACACTCTGGATTAATGTTGCAGTAATGCAGAGCTGCGCTGCTCGTTTTTCTCCCTAGCTGCAACTGTAACTCCCAGACGCCTGTTCCTATAAAGATAGCGGTGGCCGGAGCGCAGCACTACCTCAGTGCAGTTCTGAGGCTTTTTGTGGACCACCTGTCCCACAAAACTCCTGACTGGCTCGGCTACATGAGGTTCCTCATCATCCCTCTAGGTTTGTGACGGCATAGCTCTCGTCTCTTCTGTTGTTAGGTGCACCAGTGGGGTCATGTTTTTGTTTAGTGGGATTAGGCAAAAACTACTTTGATGATTTTCTTTAAAGTTGGTACAGAGGTCGAGCACGGACAAACGGAGGCCCATTAAACTTCAGGTGGCGCTTACAGCAGAAGCAAATGGTTAGCATGGGTGGAGGACTGGGGGCTAGAGGTGGAGCTAGACTGTTAAGCAAGATTATCCATGTAACCATCACGTACGCTATATGGACAGAAGCGTTGGGCCACCTACACATTACACCGACAGGAACTGCGAGGCTATACTGTGAAGCTCCCGGCACACAGTTTTTGTGCTGATGTTAATGCCAGAGCTGATTTAGAGCTCTGCAGTTAGAGATTCAGCAGAGCTTGGGCGACGTTTACACACTCTACACCTCAGCACTCTGCAGTTGAGCTGAGCTGCTGTGGTTCCTAAATGCTTCCACTTTTCTTCAAGAGGAGGCGCAGCTTCCCTCGAAGGGCTATACTAAAACGTTGATGTTTTATGTTTTTATAACAACATGCTGACCTATGTGCTAGAAGCATTACATACTAAAATTATGTAATTTATTATCTTCATATCCATATGATTGGAGCAGAATCGGCTGAAATCTTTGCCTTCTATAAGCTGTAAACACTTTTTAAAGATATATTCATTTGTGACTGCAAACTGAAACTACTGCTACTTACTTGGAAAAAATTACTTTATATGATTTCTCACATAAGTTATTTTATTGGGTTTTGCTTTCCAGACCCATTTTCTGTCAGTCAGTCAGAATCAGCTGTGAAGCTGCTAAACAGGAAGTCATACAAGGCTCCTTTCTCAGTTCTCAGTTTGTGCCTTCTCGATTCCTTTCCTCACATCTTAGTCCCTTCAACCAGGGAAGAAAGAAGGAGAGAGGAGCTGAGGCGACACACATTTATCAAAATCCTTAGACATCCTTGCTTCAAAGTCTGCTGTATCCCTGATATAACTGTGTTTGTGACTTTTTTTATTTTTAAGGCTACTTCTAATAAAAATCAAATAGTTGACCAATTTATAAATAACTCAAACACTTTATGAATAGACATAAATTATTCTGCTCCTTCCCTGGTTTATATATCCCAGCTGTGTGCAACTCTGTTATACGCTGCAAAAATACTTCTGCAGAGGATGTAAGTGTGCATCCTCAATTATATCTCCTCAGGCAAGCCTCCTCTGTCCTCCGACCTCTGACCTCCAGATAGATTTTGGGATCCAGTAACGTCTCTTAGCATGGCATACAGAGGCACAGGCAGGAGGACTGAGGACAGAGGAGACAAGGAGGCACAAATGACAGAAATGAGAAAGCGACGTGCACTCAGGGCCTCACTGTAAGGAAGCAAAAGCAACTTTGTGGGATTTGACCACTAAAGCTAAAAACTTTCATGAGCCGTCTGGATATTTCAAATTTTCTGTTTGTTTTTTTTCATAATTCGCACATTTGTGAAAAGCAGACCAGCAGCTTTTTCAGAGGTCTTGTGCTCTACTAATTTTTCAATATTTAAAAGTGCTGTATTTGTGTAAATTGCAGTGCTGCTTGTTAATATTAGTTTTAACCTTGTTGTAGTGGAAACGCGGTGGTGATATTGATGTCAAACTGCAGCAGCTCTGCACTGTTTTTTTAAAATCACGACTCTCTCTCTTTTCCATTGGCTTTAGGTGCACATCCAGTCTCCAAGTATCTCGGCACTATTGACTATCGATACAACAGTTTGTTCCAAGATGCTGCCTGGAGGGACCTGTTTCACAAATCAGAGGCTCCAGTTGTTGGTGGGCTGTCACGCTTTTCTTTGAACAACATAACACTCATTTGTTCAAAGTTTAAAGAGCTCTTAAAGAGCCACTGAAATGATTTCAACCAGAAACATAATTATGATGTTACATGCTCACTAGCCACTTTATTAGGTACACCTATTTGCTTGTTAACACAAATATCTAATAAGGCATTAACCTGCTGAAGCTCAAAATTTAAACTCAAAATGAGGGAGAAAGGGGATTTAAGGGACTTTGAATGTGTCATGGTCGATGATGCCATCTACTTCCCATGCAACCATCTCTAGGGTTTTACAGAGAATGGTCAGGGAAAAGAAAAAACAACATCCAGTGAGTGGCAGATTTTCTTTGAGCTGCCTGGACAGTAACACTGAAGAGCATCTCTAAATGCACAACACGCCAGACACTGAAGAAGAGCACACCAGATGCTTCTCCTGTCAACTCAGAACATTAAACCGAGGCTACAGTTTGCACCAAAGTTGGACAACAGACGAATGCTGCGTGTCTGGTGGTCTCAATTTAAGCTCCTACGTTCGCTCAGATCATCTCAAAGGAGTTTATTGAACATGACAGAAAGTTTTCTATAGTCAAATGGCTTCCACAGTCACTGGATCATAGTCCAGTGAAGCACCTGTGAGATGTGGGGGAACTGGACTTTCTCATCAGGGGTGTGTAGCCCACATATCAAAATCTCTGAGGAATATTTCCAGCACCTTGTCGAATCTATAACAAGTATTATGGTAATTCTGAAGGCAACAGTTGACCCATACCGGTACCAGTAAAGTATACCTAATAAAATGGCTGGTGAATGAATACTGTATGTTGCTGACTCTGTAATCAGGTACTAATCACCGTCTCCTTTACAGTCCAGGAGAACCCAGATGTAGTTTCCAGGGTAACACAGTATATGGTGGGAGCTAACGGAGCTCACCAGCTCCCTATCGCAGAGGCCATGCTCACCTACAAGCAGAAGAGGTACGTGCTTTTTTTCTCAGGATTTCACCCTCATTTAATGACAAAATAAAGTTACAATCTAGTTGTTATCAGAGATGCATGGAAGCCTTTGTTTTAGGCGTTACAGTCAAAAAATCGGAGTCTATGTTTGCTCTAACATATGCTTCTAATGCAGAGCTTTCAGTATTTTTAAACGGGGTTTCAAATGTTTATTTAAAGAGAAATCCACAGTGATAAGTTACTAGAATCTCCCTGAACATTACAAATTGAATTAAAAATACCTGCACTGCATATATTATTACGTATATGCTGTAAGTATGCTTCTGTGGTGCAAGTTACTCACACGCACAAGAAGGTTTTAAAGCAAACATTAACTACGGAGAGTAGATTATTAGACATTTGCTAGTAGTAAACAGCCAGCTTAGCTCAGGCGAAGATTAAAGGCCACAGAAATGAGGTGCACCTTCTGGTTTCCATTTTGCCCCTTTTTGAAAGAAATACTGAGTGAATAGTTTCACTAATGTTGCAGGGTTTGTCTGTTTGTGTGGGGGTGGGTAGTGTGTCTTCTAAGCATCACTGTGTTCCCATCACTGTGTGAGTGAATAACATGATTTATCTTTGTGTTGTATGTTTTCTTTCTTTGAAGGAAAAAGAGCTTTCATTTTGATTTTGCAGTAAGGTATTGTGAACGATAGTCTGTTTCTCATGTAGCCTGGTGATTCATGCGCTTTCTCTGTGGTTCACGCATTTCTCCTTGAACCCTCTCATTGTTTTTTGGATCTTGTCGCTTTAACAGCTGGCTAAATTATCAAAAGTTCCAATGTAAGCTTTCCAGAGTAAAGCTGCAACGACACAGAAGCAGTATGAGATGTTTGAAGCTGCACCAGATGAAGTTTTGATTTTGACGTTTTTATGAAATCAGCCAGTGGGATGCAAAGGAGCTTTATACACTGATTACATTTCTCAGCATATAAAGATATTTAAAAATAAATAAAATAACCACATTAGTTAGGATGTTGTGTAAAATATATATGTAACAGGAGCACGGTGACCACTGTGTGTGTGTTTTCTATAAGTTTCAAAGTTAAATGTTTCCCCATTTCTCAGTTCAGATCCTCCTTTGTTGCAATTCTCCCTTCTGGCAGCATAGGTTGTTCAAAAACATGTGTATCTCATTCAGCATTGGAGCTTCCACACATGTGCATATTTCCCTATGTCTGGTGCACTAATGTGATAGCATCTCTACTAATATGCATGCTCTCATTTGAGCTGTGAACTCGTACAAAGCCAGATGGGTCCCCCTCTTGTTTGGTCCAGAGGACGTCAATTTAAAAAAGGAATTCAAGTTTTGATTGGTCAGGCCAAAAGACTTTCTGGTACATATATCAAATGAGCACTGCCTCATGTATTTTATTAACATGTAGAGGTTTAACGGTTCTTCAGAACTGCTTTTCACACCATGTGGTTATTTCCACTGCTGTGCATGTTTGTTTTTAATGCAGTGCCATCTGAAGATAATTTTTTTAGCCTTGCATTTTGATATTTCCCCTGATTCTTGGAATCAGATGTTTAAAAACCCTAAATTCTTTAATTAATTGACCAACTTTAGTGGTAGATGTTGGAATAGCTGTTTACTTTCTCATTCTTTAGTTGCCCACTGTTTTTGCAAACAAGGCTGTTGTGGTAGAGAGAGTAATAGCTTCGTAGTGCAGTGTTTAACACAACAGTCAAAAGTCATTTTGTAGTAATAGAGAGGGGAAGATTTATATATCATTTCTATCTGCTCATAAAGAAACAACTATTGGGTGATTAGTAAACTGAGCTGAGCCCATCTCTGTGCTAAATGTGCTAAAAGCTAACGAAAACTGTTTTAAATGGATGTTACAGCAGTAATAACCCTGCACATAATCCTATGTCAAACCAGGAATTGGCAATGGTTTGGTATGGATTTAATAACCATGATTTAATATTTTAATTAGTGAACTTTTAATGTGCAGGAAGCAGATTCGGTTCCTTTTGATTGGACCAATGTTTTAATAATTAAATTTTACCAGCATCCGCTGAAGAGCTTTTAGTGCTGCATGTATGCAGGCGTTTGCTGAAACAGAACAATTCATTCTCAGCGCTGAGCCGCCGTAATTTTCAAGGAACGATGGTGCTGTTAAAGTGGCAGGTGAACATTTACAATCAGCCTCTTTTGTTTCTCCCTCCCTGCTGTTTCATGCTTCCCAGCCAATCATGTCTGTCTGTTATTTATCTACTAAGATGTATGAGATGTGGATACTGTCAGTAAAAATAGGGTGTTATGTTGATGCACTCTTCTTTTATTTAATTATGAGCTGCAACCACCAACAACATTGTTTGGTTGAATCCAGTTTAATATCGGACAAACATATTTATACATGTACACACAAATTACACATACGAGTCTGTAGGGCTTTAATAGCTAAACAGGCATTTTATTGTATGAATATTATTTATTTCTAAATTATTTTAATAGGCTGTGTCTTGGAGAGGTTCAGGTGATTTGATTATTTTTATTTTATTTAATGGAATAGCTCAATAAGCACAACTATATATCCATTTATTTTGGAGAGCATCACTCTTTCTATGCGCTTGCCTGTAGGTAAATATCCATGCACAAATTTGAGGTAAATCTTTAGATGATCCTGCTGGATGTTCAATAAATAATTTTAATAACTTACTGGAAATTGTGCAAATTTGTTCCAGTGAGAATTATTAAGAAAATATTTGGAGATTATTGAGATCATTGAGAAGTGCCACTCTTGGACGTGGAAAAAGCTTATTTTAATTAGAGGAGTATAAATGCTTCTATAAAGTGCATGTTCATAATTCAGCTGTCTTCAACTGTTTACATGGGTTGATGTGCATGTGCATCTTTCAGATATCAAACATTAAATTTAATGAATGGATGAAGTGGCTCAAACAATACTCACGTACTCTGTCGTGGTCCATACCAGGCAGACATCAGGCTCTCTCTCTCTCCGGCTGCTTTGAAGTGATTACAGCAGAGATGTGTTTGTGTTGGAAAAACAAACTGTTACCTACTGTAGGCTGTCTGTCTCTCTCTCCCCCTCCTCTTTAGTCTCTCTGTTTCTTCCCTGGGGGGGCGATGGCAGGTTTCTTCAAGGCAAGAGCAACGACCTTTCGTGTCGCTGAACATCTTTACATTCAGAACACGTAGACCTACAGAACAGTAGAACTTTATTCCGGCTATTTTTCTGGGTATTTCCGGGAAAATAGTTCACACAGTAGAAGGCTTGTTAAATGTTGTAATGCACTACCTCTGACAGGTAGTGCATGGAGCCAAAAGGTTTTGGACTTAGGTTGGTGCTCTTCCTTTTCATCGACTCCTTTATGACTCTAGTTGACTTGTTCCCCTGATGGACTTGCTGCCTTGCTGAACGCCCTCATGACTCTGTTTGGGTCGATCCAGTCTGGTGCTGCAGTGATTTGATGGCTTTGCTCGAGGCCCCAAATCGGCCAAAAGCTTGCATGTTTTGCTCTCTGCTTCTCCAACTCCAATCAGAGGCCTGCCGTCAGGAAGTGAACCCGTTTTAGTGGAGGTTAAATCCAAGCAGCATGTGCAGCTGAGCTTTGCATAGTCCCCTATGCAAGAGAGGACTCAATTATTTCCAGATGTACAACAATGGAAATCAGCATCACCCAAAGTCATTATGCACAAGCTACTAATGACTAGATTTCAATGTTACTAACTTTAGATTTACATTTCTTCAAATTATAATCTTAATTTATTTTAGTACTCTTTGTAGCCAAGTTTAGGAAATGCTTGTAGCATGTATTCCCTTTAGAGCTGGCTACTTTATTTTGATCAAACTCTAATTTCTCTCCTTGTGCCTTCTTGTTACCTGCACTCGTTACAGCCCAGATGAGGATTCATGTCAGAAATTCATTCCTTTTATCGGGGTAAGTATTATCTCTCTCTCTGCCTAAATACACTGATCAGGCATAGCATTATGACCACTGACAGGTGACGTTTACCTCTTTATCGTGACACACGTTAGTCAGTGGGATATATCAGGGAGCGCGTGAACATGTTGTCCTAAAAGTTGATGTGTTAGAAGCAGGAAAGGGCTTGAGGATTTGTGCGAGTTTGACAAAAGGTCAAATTGTGAAAGCTAGACGACTGGGTCTCCAAAACTACAGCTCTTGTGGGGTTTTCTTGGTCTGCAGTGGTCAGTGTCTATCAAAAGCAATCCAAAGAAGGAACAGAGATGAACCAGCAACAGGGTCATGGGTGGCCAAGGCTCACTGATGCACATGGGGAGTGAAGGCTGGCCCGTGTGGTCCAACAGACCGCAAATGAGCTACTGTTGTGGAAAAACTTGATGCTGATTGAAAGGTGTCAAAGATTACACAGTGCATCATATTTTTGTTATGCGTGAGGCTGCATAGCTTCTGACCAGTCAGGGTGTCCTTGCTGACCCCGTCTACCGGTGAAAGCACCAACAATGGCCAAGTGAATAACAAAAGATGATCACGGAGCAATGGAGGAAGGTCTGGTCTAATGAATCACAGTTTCTCTTGCATCACCGGGTGTATATGCATCGCTTACCTGGGGAACATCTCTCTGTGAATAGTTCAAGTTCAAGGTTCTTTATTTGTCACATGCATAGTTATAGAAGGTATATAGAATAGAAGGTAACCAGGCGAAGGCAATGCAATGCTTTGGGCAATGTTTTGCTGGGAAACCTTGGCTTCTCCCATTCATGTGGATGTTACTTGGACAGGTACCACACCTAGCATTGCTGCAGAGGATGCACCCTCTTTCATGGAAATTGCATTCCCATCCTCTTTCAGCAGGATAATGTGCCCTGCCACAGAGAAAAAATTTGATCAGGGATGATTTGAGGAGCACAGAAGCGAGTTTAAGGTGTTGACTTGACGTCCAGATTCCCCAGATGTCAATCCAAGTGAGCATCTGTGTGATGTGCAGGACAAATGAGTGTAGGTGTGAGGGATCTGTTGCTAACATCTAGGTGACAGATACCACAGCATGCCTCCAGGGGTCTACTGGAGTCCATGCCTCGAGTACTCAGGGCTGTTGTAGCAGTAAATGAGTGACCAGCACAATTTTAACCAGGCAGTCACAGTGTTATGTCTGATTGATGCAAATGCTGCACTTTTCAGTTTATCTGTGGGTTTTTGTGGCACTTTGAAGTGGTGCTTAAAGTGATAAACCTTTGCTTTTCCATTCTGTTCTTCAGATGGTGAAAGTTGGCATTGTGGAGCAAACAGCTGCAACATCAGGTACACCACTGTTTGGCCACTTTGTGGTTGTTGAATATTAAAAGAGATGTTTTGTCATAGGCTGCATGTTAAACCTTTATATAAGACTTCATTAGACAGCTTTACTGAATGAAGTGAGCAGCATTGCCATATCTACATTCCTGTTGATCCTTATGAGCTTATTAGATGTAAATATATTCTCAAGGCATTAATAATCAATTCCAGAAGGACTTGTTGATTTATACTGTAGCAATTAATCCTGTGAGCCTGATGTTATATCATCTTTGTTATGCTGAGACTTTGAATAAATAAAAAGCTTCATGTTAGTGTTGCAAGTCAACAAGAAGACATTTTTGTGTTTAAAGTCATTTAAATGGAGAGATGGCTAGTTTACTGACTGTAGGTATGATGCAATCTAACAATATTTCAAAAGAAATTGCAAGAAATTGTTATTCCTGATGCTGCTTGCCTCCTTTCACAGCTCTTTTTTGCTTTTTCCTTTCTCAGGAGACTCTGATGATGCAGCGCCTCTGGGCTCCTCGCTGCTCTCCTCCACCCCTCCACAGGTATCACCCGCTTTCAAAGAGGCATCGCCCACGCCGCCCTCGTCTCCCTCTGTCAACACCAGCTTTTGTGCTTACAGGTAAGATGTGCTGCCTGCTGGAGGGAAATTACATCAAGTTCTTTTTTACTAATGTCCTTGTAAATCAAAGCAACGTCTCTGCACAAAGTTTAAAATTAAATGTTTGAGCCAGAAGATATTTCATCTTCTCAGACTCTATACAAAGCCTAAGAGCAAAACTGGCACATTGCAAGAAGCTTTATGCAACGCAGTCTCTTTGAGGGGTCCCAGCTTTCAGATTCAAAGCTACTGATGCAAATTCTTTACAAAAATCTGTAACGTTTTACGACTTGTACGTGTATTCCTCAGCTGTATATTTGTCTTTCATTTGTTTCATTTAAGCACATCTTTCCTTTAAAGTCTGAAGTTTCACATATCAGGATATAAAAATCTGTTTTTTTGCAGCTTCTAAAATGTAGAAATATTTGAGTGTGTCATTGTTTATTTAACAAAGAATCAAAAGAGAGAAGCAGTGTGAATAAACTAGAGAGATTAATTATTTTAAAAATGAATACCATGTTCGTGTACTTATATAGTGCTGTATTTATGTACATTTTCCTAAAGACAATGACTGCATGAATTCCTTCTATACGATACTGCTCAATTCTCTATATTATCTCATATTGTTTTTATGTAATTTATGCAATAAAGTTTAAAATTAAAGCCTTTTCACAGTATCAACATTGCTGTTTTCCTGCAGCTCTGGTGGTCAGGTGGAGCTCATGGGGCTTCAGGTGGACTACTGGGTGGCTCCGACAGAAAGGAAGAAAGATGTGGAGAAGCGAGACTCCTCCTCCAAAAACACTCTCAAGTGCAATTTCCGCTCGCTGCAGGTCAGCCGGCTGCCACTGGGGGGCGCAGAGCCAAGCTCCCAGCCCACCATGTCTATGACTGTGGTGACCAAGGAGAAGAATAAGAAGGGTATGTTGTATGACTGTGTTGTCACGGTGCGCTGAGGCAGTCATGGGAAGCCCAAAGGCAGGGGTGTCAAACTAATTTTGCATCGTGGGCTGCAAACAGCCCACTTTGATCTTACAGTAAGGGGGCCGGTACTGTGAAACTCCGCCTTTCTGTCAGTATAAAGAAGTTTAACTACATAATATCTACATATAAAAAAGGGACAATTTCAAACATAAATCTCGGGATTTCTACATGAAAAAAAAACTGCTGTGGTAAGGAAAAAGAGATCTGTGAGCATGACTCCTCGGGCTTAAACTGAGAAATAAATGTGCAAAATCACGAAAATAGTAGCTCGTTGTTCAGACCGCCTTGTAACTATAAAACAGAAATATTTTGTTAATTCACAGAAAATCATAGTCATATTCTTTTTTGTAGTCCCTTTGTATGAAAACGAATTTCTGTAGTTGATAGAACACATTTTTTGTTTTTTTTGTTTTTTACTATAATTGAATTGTTTATCTATTGATTAATTACTTTGGTGTAATATGAAAAGCCATGGGAGAGGCCTTAATCAGGTTGAAAATACATTTAAAAGTCCAAAATTTATGCCCTTCTTCATTCATTCCAGAGCCATCTAATGGGCCGAATTAGAGGCTTCACTGGGCCAATTCTGGCCCCTGGGCCTCATGTTTGACACCCCTACCCTATAGTAAGACGTTGGTTGTGAATGAACCCTGAAAAAGTCAATCACCTCTATAGTAGTCATTAAGAAAACAGTGTAAAATGATTAAATCCAGTCTTGCAAAAATGTTTTCACATACGACTCCTGAGAGACCAGAAAGATTCTGAGATCACAGTGTGCATCTCTGTTGTTCCCTTCTACCAGTCATGTTCCTGCCAAAAAAGAGCAAAGACAAGGAGGTGGAGTCAAAGAGTCAAGTGATTGAGGGCATCAGCCGCCTCATCTGCACTGCCAAGCACCAGCAGACCATGCTGAGAGGTAATTTTCTGCACAGACCTCCTGCTCGGTTTACTCTTCTTGCTCAGCGGCCCAGACATCCTCAGACAGACCACAGCTGCTTCTATTGTGACTGATTACTCACATTTTTAAAAAGATCAGATCAGGAGTTGTTCCTCGCCGACCACTTCGTACTAATCAATATCTAATCAGTCAATCACATGGTGGCATTTAGGCATGTAGACATGTTCAAGATGACAAGATGGCATGGTTGTCGGTGCTGGACAAGCTGGTCTGAGTATTCCACAAGCTGCCGATCTACTGATCCGCATAGAAACAGCTGCGTTTTCAAAGATGCCCGTGTAGGTGTGGACTTAGCGTAAAAGAGTTAGTAGTGTATTACTACCTGATTGAATTTTTGAGGTGTGAAATAAACCGCAATGGAGTTTTACAACAAAATATGGGTGTGTGTGGCTGGAGGATGTTTGTGTGCGGGGGGGTGTCCCCAACTTTGGGAACCTAATCAATGCAAAAATCTATCTGGTCTATTGTGGAACTACTTTATTAACTTCTGTTGTAGCTCCAATAAACAACTTTGCAAAGTTTAAAGTTTAAAATTTGCATGAGCCGTGGAACTGAGACCAATAACCACTTTCATACTGAGAGCACTTTTTGTTCCGTGTACTGCGGCGCGGCAGTTTGGCAGTTAATATGTACATTTGAAAGCAGTAACACCTGTTACATCATGAAGAGGACCGTGTGAATTTCAGCGAAAAGCAATGTTTATTTTTATGGGAGGGGCGTTCATATCTGGTGATTCAGATCTTAAGACAAGAGGAATACTTGTTCAGCATTTATTCCCAAACTTTAGCGTCACTCATATCAACAGGAAATGAATCCATAAAAATTGTGAGCTATTTGAAGAGTAGTACTGGATAATGCAAAATAATGCATGCCTTGCCACATACCTAGAAGGAGTATTTGTTATTCAAGGACCCTCAGGATTCAGGGAACCTGAACCTTGTTAAGAGTTTAAAAAAAGCCATTTCATAATGAACTCCAAAGAAGACCACGACCATGTGCTTTTACACATTCACTCAGCTGCTAACTCAAAACCCTAAAGTGCCATGAATGGGTGAAGTGTGTCACCTCTTGCTAGATTTGCAGGTAGAAATACTTCGGCGTGTAACCGTTTGTCTCTTCCTCCGCAGTGCTGATCGACGGTGTCGAGTGGAACGATGTCAAGTTTTTCCAGCTGGCTGCTCAGTGGTCCTCACACGTCAAACATTTCCCCATTGGGATCTTTGGACACACGAAAGGCCCTTATTAGCAGCACCTAAGAGACTGAAACATGGAGGACAGCAAACCCACCCTCCCTGCCTCCCTCCCTCGTGCCAAGAGCTCTTAACCCCCTTCCTCCTACCTTCGCCTGCACACTTCCTCCTATTCTGCTGTCTTAATTTAAACTCCTGCTTTCCACACTTGCATTGTCCCCGTTATTTAATCTTTTGCGTGGTTTTTTTTTTTGTTTGTTTTGTTTTTTAATTTTCTATTTATGTAAACATCTCAAGGCAGAGCTGCTATGAGAATATTTCTTTACTTGGCTTTTTAAAACAAAAATCCTGCTGACGTTTTATAGACTTTTGAGGAAAAAACATTAATTGAATAACAACTAGAAATGACTTCTAACCTTTAACATAATGAGTGCCCTGGTTTCACTTGGCCATCAGTTTTTTCGTTGTTGTTTTTTTCCTTTTCAAATTCGATGAGGATGGTTTTAAACACTTGGCCAGCACAATTAATCACAGCTATATTATAAAAAAGAGCCATCTGCCTCATAATAAAGGTCATATTTTCTAATTACAGAGAAGAAATTTTGGATTTGCAGCCACAGAGACTGTTGGCAGTTCATTGTCTTAAGCCAGAGGGAGAAAGGATAAACGGCCTCCGTGAAGAAGTGTAATGTGCAATAGACGAAATATTGTATGAATGCGATTCTGCTAGAAGATTACACACTGCTCTTAGTGGTGATTTTCACTCTTTGCATCCCTTCTCTTCTTTACTTTACCCTCCTGATAAACTAGTTCAAGGTTTGAAGAGAAGCTTTTTATATCAGAATTACGAGCGCAGTTAACCACAAACTTACAGGAAAAACTTCGGGAAATCCTATCTTGTTGAGAATTGAATGAGAAGATTAATACCTCTCTTATTTTTTATGGTAAATTTGAAGCTATAGTTGTTTACAGTAGAGTAAATAGGTACCCTTGTTCTTTTGAAAGGTAAAAGAATAACTACTTACCAGCACTTCTGAACCTCACTTAATTAAAACCTTATATCTTGTATGTTTAACCCCTATAGAAACTGAGCCAACCTAACCGTTTCTATGTTTAGTAGAGTAAGAATGGGGCATTGTGGTTTTATGGCTGGCACATAATGCACCCTCCCTCCAACACACACAAAATAAATAAATCAGGTTTTATACATTCTATATAAAGCTAAGCTAATGGTTAATGACTGACCCGGCTCTAAACAAACGGAACAAAATCTTCTTACCAGCATCTCCAGATCTCACCGTCTATCAAACATCCACATAGAAAATGAGACAGGGTAGCTGTTGCTCTGTTTGCAGCGCTGAGCTACGCTAATTGGCTGCTTACACATCTGGTATCAACTACAGTACTGTGCAAAGGTTTTGAGACACCTCTCATTTCTTTATACTTTGCAGGAAAATTAGAAATATGTGCAGTGAGTTATTGAAAAACGAAGCACAAAACAGAATATGCATCATTCTAATGAGCTTGAAAGTCAATATTTGGTATGACTATCTTTGTTCTTCAACACATCCTGAACTCTGTTAGGCAAGATTTCTTGTCATTTATTTAAGTAGTTTTCAGGAATAGTTCTCCACGACATTCATAGCTCTTCTCTAGATGTAGACATTGCTTTCCAGATGATATTGCACAGTGGATTAAAATCTGACTGTACTTTTTCTGTGTTCATAATTCCCTCCATTTTTCCATCAACAACTGGCTGAAATGCAGCCCCAAACCATGACAGAGCCTCCACTATGTTTTACAGATGGCTGTAGACACTCACAGTTGTACCTCTTTGCTCTCTCTTTGTACATATTTGAGAGTATTTATTACTCCATATGACCGGTTGCCACAGATTTTTCGTGTAGTTCTTGTGTAATTTGACTTACTTCAGCCTTTTCTCCCTGTTTCCCTTCTTTATAAATCACTTCGTGACAACCACCGTTCCAACATTTCTGATGATAAGCAAACAGCAGATGGATAAACTCACTTTTTATAGATTCAGCTAAAGAAAATTCGAAAAAAAATATGTGTTTATGACAGGCTGACAGTAACACAGGGCCACAAATACAATTTAAAACTTCTTGTTTTTATGTTCTGACACACACTGGTTCATCCCTTAAATTTTGATTTTTTTTTTTCATGCTTGAATGATTCATAGTTCAGTTTTTGGTACCACAAAAAAACATTCCTCTGAAAATAATCAAGCGCAAGGGCTGAACTGAACAGGAGTTACAAACCACCCAATGTCCAAAGAAAAACTTTGAAAACCCTTCAGAAATTCTGGAGAACTATTTCTCAATACCACTTAAAAAACATTCCAAGAAAATCTGTCTCCTTGGAAGCAAAATATAAAGACACGAGGGGTAGTTCAAGACTTTTGCACAGTACTGTACTTGAGAAAGTTGGAGCCCAATGTCCACTGTGTTTCCTAAGAGTTATCTGAATGAATCAGACTCTGCACAAGTGTGGCACACATCAGCTCAGCCAAAATTAGGAAATGCCCCACTGATTATTGGAAAATAATTGACCACTTCCTGTTTTGTTTTAGTTTTCTTTTTTTTTTTTACTATAATAAAATCAATAAATAATCTATTGAAGCCATGGGAGAGGTCATTATCAGGACAAAAATACATATATGCCCTTTACATTTATACCCTTCTTCACTCATTCCAGAGCCATCCAGTGGCCCGAATTAGAGCCTTCGCTGGGCTGATTCTGGCCCCCGGGCCTCATGTTTGACACCCCTACCCTAAGGGTAGATTTTGGTTGTGAATGAACCCTGAAAAAGTCAATAAACTCTATAGTAGTCATTAAGAAAACAGTGTAAAATGATTAAATCCAGTCTTGCAAAAATGTTTTCACACACGACTCCTTAATGAAACCAGTATCACTCTTTTAAACGTGACTCTTAATGAAGCCGTGTATGACACAAGAATCCTACTTAAATTAAACAGAAGTCATCACAGTTCTTTGGTGTGTATGCAGCAGCCATAATCTGCAGGCAGGTCAAATACCAGTGCACAACGCTCATGATTAATCATATTTAGACATGGTGCAGACTAATGTCACCTCATCTCAAAATGTGTGGTGTAGAGCTGTGGCAGTGGTACTGATCTTCTCATTTAACTCGGCAAAGAAAGCAAAACAGCATATCTCTCGAAATGCCAAACTGTCCTTTAAGATCAGCATACAAGGTGAAACAAAAGCGGAGAGTGTATTACATTACATTCATGAATTCTTCCTCCTTGAGCCCCACACTCCTCCATACACTCCATATGTTCCGCTAAAAGCAAATGTTACTTTTGCCAAAGGAAACGCTCAAGAACTGCAGCTCACTCATTACTTGTGTGGTATTATAGATGACTTCATAATGTAGAGGTGAATGTATTGACGGTACCTTAATGTAAAGCACTTTTAAATGTTTGTCCAGTATAGATTAGTATGTTACACCCTGGGAACCTGCAGGTACTGTTGGCTGTCTGCCGTTATGTCTGAGCAAAGTAAAACAAGCATCCGTGTCTCCTCAGTGCTGTGAAAGCAAAGTTCACGCTCGGCTTGAGGCCTCGTCAAACTATTTTAGATTTTAGTTACATGTTCTGTGAGGTTAGCCTAGAAAGTGTATGTGGATTACGTCTGTAGATTTTGCTCCATCTTTAATTCACTTTTAAGACTGAGTAGTATTTTGCTTAAATTTCTTTCAGTAGCAGTGTCATCATAACCTTTACCAGTTTCTTGATAAGTGCCTAAATTGCTTAATTTTGACAAATCAACTGAAGTAAATATCCCTGGCTGAAATGGTGCTGATTCGAGCCCGGACAACAACAAAATATCTCAGTACAGCACATTGATTTCGCAACACAAACACGTGCGGTGTGCATCGGTGGGAAGTAAAGTCACGCTTGACCAGCTGATTATCAGTAGTTTAAAGAACACTACGGTCCATTCATGGCGAGCATACATTTGTTGTTTCTCTGTTTAGAGAATATTTTAGATGTTTTTTTTCCCATGTTGTCTCAGAAAAGGCTTGTTGAAAGTTCCCTAAAGACTACCACTGTAATCCCAACAACTGGGAGTAATAAAACTACTATACACACTAAAATCTACTTTTCATGTGTGGGTTACTTGACTTGGTTGGTGCTCCAGAACTGATAAATTTAAAATAAGAATATGTGATTACAAACTTTATATATCTCGTTAGCCCTACTTCTTAAGAGGACCTATAAAAGGCTGCGACTGTATATAAGAATGTCCATGTGATAAAGCTTACGTCGACTTTTTGCACCATCTTGTGGTACAAACTGGTTTTAAACAAAAGTACTGTCCAGCCCTAGTTCAACTTTCCTCGATATCTTCAACACAATACGCAGCTTTTTTTCAGATTTAGCATTGCATTCACAATAACTAGCTAATCATAATACATTTGATTTCTAGGTGCTGTTCATGACACTCAAGGACGCCTTACAAGCCATTAAAAAACAAAATCATGGTATAGAAACCAGTCTATGGAAGATAAAAATAAAATTAGACAGAAAAGGAAAACCTTGTGTTTTAAGGCTGGCCTTGCGAGGCGATCTACGTTTTGTATGTGGTGCATAGGGGGCCACTCAGCTGAAAGCTCTTAAACCCATGGTGGTCAGGTGGGGAGATACTATAATGAGGGTAGAGGAGGTGGATCTGAGAGTACAGCCAGGGACGGTGATGTGTAGAAGATCAGAGAGATGTATAGGTGTGAGATTGTGGAGAGACTTGAAAGCAAGGAGCGGAATCTTAAGATTAATGCGATATTACACAGGAACAGGAGGAGGACAGGAGTAATAAGGAAGGAAGGGATTCTGGTAATGCCACGAGCAGAAGAAGTCTATGAAGAAGTTTGTATGGTAAGGTTAGATGGAGAGGACAGAATTATAATAATCAATACGAGATGCAACCAGAGCATGTACAAGAATAGCACAACTGTTAGCTATAAAGAATGGGCACAGCTAACAAATACTGCGTAGGTGGAAATAATGCAGAAAGAGCTATATTACTAATGTGTTTCAAAATCTAAGGTGGGAAAGATGACACTTTTGTCACTGTTTATTTAATAAAAACAACTATTTAAAGGCATCTACCTGTTAATCAAACCTGATAATTTTTATTAACAGACCAACTACCAAATAAACTGAGGGGCTGTTTTCAACATCTATAATAAACTCAAAACCAAGAATTCATTATACTTCTCAAAAATGTGAAGATCTACATATCTGGTGAGGACCATGTGAATGAAAGTGCAAGAAAAAATTTGGTGATCTTTATTGCACCAGTCTGTTAGTAGCAATGGTGGAAAAAGTGCAAAGTGATACAAATACAAAGAACTACAGGGAGTGTGTGCATAAGAATTGGGAACAAATCCAGGAAAGACCTGGCACATCTGACCCTTTAGTTGATCCATCTACTGTTCACTGAAGCTTCATCGGAAATGAGAAACGATCTGGGTGGAAGGGTGGCTGTCAAGAAGCCATTCATAAGGAAGGAAAATAGGGAGGAAAAGCTGGGGTATGCCAATGATATATGCATGTGTTTCTAAAGCTCAGCTCCTGGGAGTCCTTCCCTAGGACTGTACTGTTCTTTACAGAGACCTGGAATCTGCTGGATCTATTTGTCCAACTTGGGGTTTACAGCTTCAAACACTCCTATTACCACTGAGATCACTTTGGACTTCACCTTCCACATACGCCAGTTGTTCCGTTTCCTGTACTTCTCTTTATAACCCTCTATTTACTCCTCCTTTCTGTATGCTGGGATTGTTACGTCTTCTGCTCCTTGTCAAGCACCACTGCGTCTTGCTGGTTGGCCGGCAGCTGCTTGTCTATCTGGAATATAACTATAGAAAACTACACAGTTTTGATCTATAACAAGGTATTGCATAATAAATAGATACATAAATATACTGATCAATTTGGCAATAAGAAGAAAGTAATATACTTCATACCTATATGGGAATAGATAAACCATTATAGTGTAAGTACCAGAATAAGAAGCACTAAAAAGTAAATACAAAGATCTCAATTAATTAATTGCCACTCTCTTGTGTAACATTTGCATTAATTATTAACCTGTAATAAGAATAAAAAGAATAATTAGCGGCATTTGTGCGTCACATGGATAGCAAACTAAAATATTAAAATGGTACAAACTTGACAGAGGGTAGTTCAATGGTAAAATGTGAGCTGAATGGTGTGAATTAAAGGGACTGGAGTGCTGGCTGGTGGTGCCGAGTGACAGCCAGGGGGAGAGAGAGGTCCTCCTCCACCGGAGCAGGAAGCTGCTGCTGGGACTGGCGAGAAGACAGAGGAGGTGCGAAATAACGTCGACATCAGCAGGCAGCGGGGTATCCACCATAATGTAGACCCAACAGTGCGCCACATCTTACCCACAGTGTGAGCAGATGTCCCGGGTGCAGTAGTGAAAACAAAAGCAGAGCGGGCCGTATTCGTGCACGGTGAAAATGAAGGAGCTGAAGGGCTGCGCTATGCGCTCCTCACTGGGCTTTCTGTCCCGCAGAGAGCTGACTGGGCAGCCGCTCCTGAAGGAGGAATTCCAGAGACGCAGGCTGGCAGGCTGCACCAGCCTCTACAAGAAGGATATGCTCGGACATTTCGGCTGTGTCAACGCCATTGAGTTCTCCAACAACGGCGGGGAATGGCTGGTGTCTGGTAAGTTGTCAAACCCTCCTC